GCCGTGCGGCCGGGCCCGGGGCTCGCCGCCCTGCAACGCGCTGCTGTGCAGCCTGCTCGACAAGGGCTGGGCCCGGGCTGCGGGTAAGCACGGCCGGGCCGGGCCGGCGGCGCGAGCCAGGGTCTTCTGTGAGGAGCCAGCTGCGAGGTTGGGGCGGTTGGGGCCGGTGGGGGGGTTGTTCTTTGCCACTTCGCAGCTTTCAGCCTCTCGGGAGACTCCCAGCTCGACCGCCCTTCTCCTGCCATTGCCTGGCACCCCTGGAAGGACGGTGGGGCGTTGCGGGGTGCCACGGCGCCCTGCTTGACCAGCCCCAGCCCCTGCCTCGCAGGCTCCCTCGCAGCCCGGAGCGGGCAGGGGCATCGCTCTTATTAGACCGGACAGTTAAGGGTCGATTCCCCTCCCGGCCCTGGGCCAAGGGAGCCTCTTTAGGAGTCTTGGTGATGGTCCAGGGGAAAAAATGCAAGAGGCCACAATTGTGGGTGACAGCTTTTACGAGACTGACTGTACAGCTGGTCCTTCTTTTAGGCGCACTTTTATCCTCGCCTCTAGGACAGCTGGAGACGCCAGAAGTTCAATCTCACGTCCCTTTGCTTTTAATGTGGCTCCAGGTATTTTCTTGGCAAGGCTTACCCACGGCTGAAAGTAATTTACTTCTGTATAAATAGCTTCCTTCCTTTGTGGAGGAGACAGTGCGGTGCCCTCCCGTTACCATCCAAATAGCCTGGTAAAATGCGAGCACGTCGGGGGAAGAGTTACCGGCGCGAGTTTGCTGCTGTGCCACTAGTTAAGACACGTTCGTGCAGGGAAGCGTAGACAGTATTTGACCCATTCTCCACCCGCCTGCAAGGCTGTAGGAGGGTGGGAAGGGAACCAATGTGAGGGCAAAGCGAAGGCCTCCAGCTGTGCTTCCAACTCGGAGGAAGAAGGTTTTGGAGATGGGAGAAGATGAGGAGTTGGCGGCTCTGCTCCCCGCGCTTCACAAAGGATGTCGAAGAACTAGAGAAGGCGCAGAGACGGGCACAAGGATGACGAGCGGCGTGGCGAGAGGCCTAAAGAGGCTGGGCCTGTTGAGTTTGGAAGAGAGACGTTTGAGGGGGCAGATGAGTAGGGATCGCAGATAAGGAGGGATTGCAAAATGATGAAATGGTGAAGAAAATGTCGCTAGGGGTTTACAATGGACTCTCGCATTACAAGAATGAGGGGGGCGGATCATAACATGAAACGAGTAGGTAGCCAGTTGAAAACACAAGGAAGGTTTGTTGCACAGGGGGTCATTAGAGGGTGGAGCTTGGTGCCATGAGGTGCGGTGGAAGTTGAGCCTTTACAAAGGGACTGGACCCATTCTTGGAGGAAAGGGGCATCTGTCGCTACTGAGCACGGGAGTGAGGGGCCTGGGCTCTGAATCAAAACTTCCCCAACCTCTGTCCCTTGCTGGAGGTTACAAGGGACAGAGGAACAGTGGGGGAAAAAAAACCTGGTTGTACCCTGTGTGTTCTCCCTTTCTGCCCCCGCGCGACAGGAGATGGGGCAAGACGGGTCAATTGTCTGACTTAGACAGTCCTGGTCTTACAACACAGAAGAGAAGAACGCCCACGTGCTAATTGTATATACACCCATGGTCACACCTGTTTGGGCCACCTGTGCATCTTGGAAGACTGCAGCCCTGGCAAAGACTCTCCGGTTGTGGGAAGCCACTCCCCAGGAACATCACAGCAGAGGCCAAATGCACCACCCGTTTTCAGGGCTGTCTCCCATGGGAAGTTTGCCTGCTGGAGCAGGCTCAAGATGTTTTTTGATGTGGGAGGTAACATGTTGCCTGAGGGACCACAGCTCCTAGTGTTAAGATGCAGCAGGGAAAGTTCATCAGTAGGGTTCTGCAGGGTGGTAGCAGGGGCTGGACTTGGCAACTCTCCTGCCCGATGGTCCTGTGACAGCAATATCCGCGAGAGTGGCTGGAGCTCTGCATGTCCAGGGCAAGACCACAGCAACTGTGTAGCCGCCTTAAGGCCGCGCTCTGTGAACTGGCCCGTCAGCTAATGAACACGGTGTCAGTGAGCATCACTACGTGCCCTTATCTTGGAGGGACGATCAAATTAAAAATACAGTTAGGTGTAAAGGGACATACAGGCCAAGAGCAAAAAAAAGAGCATCTAGCTATATCTTGGACTTGGAAAGGAAGTGAGACGAGTGTATCCTATTTTCCGCAGGAAGCTCATAGTCATCAGATGTGTGTGCGTCTGTACAGGTAGAAAATAACCCTCTAGTTTTTGTCACTAGGGCTGCTGGCAAACACCAGAACCCAGTTTACTTGCAGTTTATAAGGCCCGAGGGAGAGATGCAACATAGTCCCGTCCCCCCAGTCTTTCCTGTCTGGCTTTTTGAGCACAGCCCCTGGCTCAGGCTAAAAGCAGAAGTGAGTTTTGGGTTTCTGCACCCTGGTCCCCTACCAGACAGACCCTGCACAGCTGGGTTTGAGGCTGCTCAAGGAAAGCAGTCGTGCAAGCTTTGTTCGACTTGGCTCAAGCAGTTGTGCAAGCAGCTGCAGCTATTATCCTGATGTTGTAATAGCGCCTAGAAGCTCCAGTCAAGAAACAGAGTGCCATTGTGTCAGGCAGGGCACAGATGAATAAAAGAAAGGCTGCATGCTCATTTTTAGGCCTGTAAGAAGACACAGCAGGTGGCTAAGCAGACTAAAGCGGGTTTGGGCAGGGTGACAGGAATAGGTCAATCCCATTGTCCACATTGGCCTCAGCTGGCTGCCAGCCCGGACTGCAGATCGTGGGCAGAGCTGCATCGATAGCCAGGTCTGGGACTGCGATGGAGGCTGCAAGCCAGGAACCAGGCACAGGGGCAGAGGGGAGCATGTCCCCATCCAACCCAGACCTGCTGCATGCCCAGCACACTACTGAAGATGATGGGGTGCACTGTTCTGAGCCTCTTCGCAGGCTACTCTGCTCTGCACTTGAGTTACCATCAGGCTTGGAAACCATTTCTAGTACGTTGCCCAATTTCAGCCCCAGGCTTTTCTGCTTTGGCTGCAGAGCACCTCTTAGTTCCCCTTTCTTAGCAATCTGTCAGGGAGATGTTTAACATGTGCATTGTGTAGTGCAAGACAAGCGTAGTGTCTTGCCTCCCTGCTTCCTAGAATTTGAACCTTCAAGTGAACTTCAAAGGCCGCATGCTTGGCTATGCTCATTCAGATGGAAACTGTCTACTCTTCTGCATTTAGTGACAAATCAAGTTTAAAGCTGTTAAAAAGCCAGCTGCAAAATAGTGCAACTTTTGGGGCTTTTGCATGGCATACAGATTGAAAGCAATTGCACTTGCAGTCCTGTGTTATCCTGCTGGGGCGCAGCAGGAAAACTGACCTTTTCCCATGAATGTGATATGCAAACCTCCCATTCGGTGCCAGATCTTTGTCACGTACCCGTGACACACTCACATCCCTGCCAGACTTGCTCAGGGGAGTACCATTAATTTTGCACATGTATAATGCAAGGCTGGATGGGAGAATTCACTACAGCCCTCATAATAACAGGACGGTGGGCATCTCCCCACAGCTCCAGACCATGTGTCCTTGCAGCTCGGCCAGCTAGAGGCATCTGTGGCTCTGCGGCAGTGTCCAGAAGCCCTGGAAGATTTGGAGGTGATCTGCAGGAGCAAACTGCAGGAGCGTGGGGTGAGTCAGCTGGTGCCTGGGGGGGATGTGGGCATGTGGGTTATTCAGGGGCCTCTGAGTGCACTAAGGGAAACATGGAGCATGAAATGTGGGGTCACTGAGGTGGGGAAGGGGACAGTGTCATTCATGGGAGCATCAGAACTCCAACAAGGGGTCAGGGACGCCATCCCATCCTGCTTCTCCTTTTGGGCGGTGCTTGGCATCTCGGTGTCTTGCACAGAGCACCTGGATGCCATAACTCTTCCTCCCCAGCCCTCGTGGAGATGCCTGGGGTTCTCCATGAGAGATGGGTACGTGCAGGATTGTTCCTTTAAATACTTAGGCGTGCAGGTTGAGCTGTTAGTAATATGAAGCACTCGAGGATTGAACTTGAGCAGATTCTTAGCAAACCCTGGGATTCAGGTCCAAGAACCTGAAACCTTCTCAGACTTCCACGTGGCAGTTTTAGATGTTCTTCTCCACCCGCCCCAACCTCCAGGATGCTTTGTCTTTTGGGCACTATTTGCAGACTTCATGAAGAGTCCAACCATGCACAAGCTCCAGGGCTTGGTCTGACACCTGTTAAGGTGATCTTTTCACTGAGGACAAGGAGGGGTGGGATCCAGCACTTCACCACTGTGCCAGCTTATATTGTGTGTTGCAATGTGGGAGAGCGAGTCTCTGGCCATGAGTGGTACAGCTTGTCAGGCCAAGATGTGACCACCAGGATGAATTATTGAGTACGTGATGACAAGTGCTAATAGCATGGAGCCCTTCTTGGCCTTGGGGAGGTCCTTCTTCAGGGTCAGACGGTACTTGTCAAGGGGTATTTGGCAGGGAGTTCATCCCTCTGAACACAGGCACTGTTACAAAAGGCTGGTGTCTCTTAGCACTGGCCATGTTGCTCTTTTTGCCTGCGGTCAACCAAAGGCATTTATTTCCTCTGTGCTGGGATCTCCTGAGCTTGTGCTGGAAGCAGATGGCTCCTCTCTTACTCATGCCTAAAGGCCAGGTACAACGGGGCAGGTGCTGAGTGAGCTCTCTCAGCATGCAAGAAGCTGCAGGCATGGCTGCCTGTCCTGCCCAGCACCTGGCCAGGAACGTCATGGAAGGAGACTTAGTGCAGGTTTGTGGGGCCAGCTTCAGCGTATGATGCAGGCTCCTCTGCACCTGGAGCCAAGCTGAATGAGTTTCTTCTTGGATCTTTTTCAGCACCTGGCCTGTGATGGGGGTGAGGGGCAGCACTGCACTTGGGCTAAAATCTGAAGGCCAAACGTGAATGTTTCCCCCACCCTCTTCTCAGCAACTGGGGAGGTCTGTCGCTGTGTGTGCCCAAGCCAGGTGCAAGTTTGAGCAGCCTTGAGGCTGCTCTAATTTATGCTGGGCATAGGGCACGAAGGTGGCTTTCCCCTTCCCTCAGTCCTTTCGATCCTACACCGAACATCACTTGGCAGCATGGCTGGCGTTGCTGTGACTTCAGGAGAGGCAGTACAGAATTACACAGCCAGACGGCAGGGCTTTTCAGTTACACAAGCCGGGAGCTGCCAGGACTGAACAAGATTTCAGCTGTCTTACCTGAACTCAGCTGGGCTCTGCTCAGATCCCAATCTTGGCAGTGCACGAGAATTGCTCTCTTTTTCCCTCCCTTGGCATCTGCTTTGGAAGGCGTGCCTGGCCACCTTCAGCTGCACCCCTGACTGATGTCTGGCAAAGGCAGAGGATGCCGGAGGCGGCAGGCAGTTTGGATACAGAGACCAAAGAGGAGCATTTGTTTACCGTGCAGCTGCTCTAACCTTTGCACCCTTTCCAACAGCCCCGATCTAGCCAGTTGCTGGGCTGGGAGCAGGGTTCATTTGTCATCCTGAACTCACGTGCACTCTGCGTTTCCTTGCCCATTCATTGAATTCATCCTGTCCAGAAGCACAGTAACCAGATTCATCAATGAAGCGTTAAGTTGCAGATACAGAACGTCAACACCCCATTACGCTAATCAGTCCATCTGTCAAGTCTCATTAAGCTCAGCCTGCCTAGATCACCCTACTGGTTAAAAACAAAAAAAATAATAAAGCCCTCCAGGAGCTGGCATCCTGTCAAAGATCTTTATTCAAGCAAACTCATTGCTTAGATGTAACCGAGTTAGTAAAGGCAGGGTGGGTGCTGGCTGGACGGGTGGGCCGAATAGCTGGGCAGAGTGGGGAAGGAGACAACTTCTGGCTGTGGGTGGAGGGCTCCTCTGGGAAGCGGCCTTTTAGCAGGAGGAGTAGAGACTTTGGAAGGCCTTTGCTGCTTTTTCACTTGTCAGTGCCAGTGTCCGAAGGGTTGGACATTGACTCTGACAGCATTGCCGACCAAGGGTTCAGCAGCATATGGGTTAGGAGAGTAGTTATCAGCTGCCAGCACTGGTAGGTTGTTTCCTATAGAGGACCAGCCACTTACCACTATGCCCATTCAGTCAGCGTGGTAAAAGAGCATCCAAACGCCCCATACTGCTCAACAGAAGCACAGACTAGGTGACCTCTTGCCTTTTCTGTCTCTAGGGCTGAGGTCCAATTCATCCAACCTGGAAAATGCTCCTTGAGGCAGGTGATCAGTGCTTATGCTGGAAAGGCATTTTCTGGCATTTTAGCAGAAGTGCCTGTCCCTACCACTGGCAGAGGTAGTCTTAACTCAGTTCAGTGAAAAGAATGTGTGTGCCCTTGGAGAGACCTTTTTAGAGCTTCTCAGGGGCTGTTTTCAGGCACAGGCAGCTCTCGGTGATATGTCTGTATGTCCTGGCTCCACTCGTGGTGGTCACTCGAGGCCGTCACTCGAGGCCAGGGCGCTGACCAAGGTCATGTTGCATGTTCTGTCCATGCTGCAGGAACTTATATTTCTTGTGCATCCAGGACAGCACCTTTCCATGCCAGGAGGACACAACTTCCAGGGTCACAGACCATGCCCATGGCTGGCTAAGATCAGCGGGTGACTAACCCTAGTGGGCCGGTAGCACAGCTCACTCCTGGACTTTACCAGGTGCTTTGTAGATCCACAGTGCTTTTTTTCTGGAAGGGGAAGGTGCTCCTGAACAAGGCAGAAGCACTGCTTGAGGTCCAGCATTGCCTTACCCTGAACCCCAGCTTGCACATGGCGTGGAGTGAGCTGGACCATGTCCCTGGGCATCCGTAGAGACCTGATGTCTAAGCAGGCAGGCAGGTTCCCTTAGTGGGTAGGACGAGCATTTAAATGCCTTGGACTTAGCACAGCAAACCCATGAGATGCTCCTCTCCTTTCCTCTCCACAACACTGAGGGCAGCTGCCACTGCTGTATCATCATGTCTTGTGTCACTTCTGTTGGCAGAGGACAGAAGTCCCCATGCACCAAGACATGATTCATTATCACCTTCTGGTCTCAGTACCCTGCAAGGGCCTTTGTGCAATGGTGAGTGAAACAGGGAGGGCAGAGCAGCAGAAAACCAGTATTATGCCCGGTGGCAGAATGAAGCTTGCGGGGAGCAAAACTAACTTGGAGCTTCTTTTCCCTGCCCTGATGGCCATTCACTCTGGCTGGAGTTTGGCTTTATTTGGCTTCTAAAATATGTAAGTTTGGATGGATGAGGACATGGCCTCTCTCAGAGGCAAGCTGGTGTTCTGGGGTTGCTGGCTCTGCCTCACCTGAGCTGAAAGTCAAATCCACCCCCTTACAGTTTTCTTTTTGTAGACGACCAATGCCTTCTGCTTGCAGATCGCCACAAAGGAGGATTCCTCTGCTTCGGCGGCTATCTTGGCATCACCAAAGGAGGATACCCAAGGCTTGAAAGTCTCCAGCTCAGGGAAGGAAGTGCCTGGCTCTTTGTTCAGGTTGTCTCGTGGCGGAGAAGACGTAAAGCATGGGGTGAGTGGTGGAGCAAAGAGAGACCTGGAGGTGTGTGTGTTGGTGAGCACAGAAGAGTGTGGTCACAAGCTTCCTCTGTGTCACCCACCTGGGGGTTGGGAAGAGAAGGGAAGGGAGGCTGGTGTCAGCAGAGGTCACAGATAGCAAGGGAACTGAGCTGAAAAATAACAAAACGGCCTATAAAAAGCATTTTGGGAGCAGAGAGAGAACTCGTTGTGCAAACCCCTCTTTCCCCTTGCTGCTTGGCACTGCTTCAGATGCCCTTTGGTTTGGAGGTACAAGACAATGGCAGATTGTAGGGTCAAAGCCACCCAGATCATGGGTGGAAATGGGAGTGAAAAGTCCCCATGTTTTAACCACAGCACGAACCATCCTCCCTGGGGAATAGCAGATGCACGGTTTGGGTAATACGTTGTCCTCTGTTGCAAGTCTTGGGGGATTCCTAGCGTGCCTCGGAGAGGTTGTTGGTTGACTGCAAAATGAGGTTCAACTCTTCTGCTTTAGGAAGTGGAGCAAGAGGCAGAGGGTGAGAAGAGGGAACACGGGCAGGTGGAGCCTCTGCTTCCCCACCTGGCTGCCTGGGGGCTGGGGGCAATGCCTGACATGAAGCCTTCATCATCAAGGCAGGAGCGGTGCCCAGTAGGTAAGTGGTAGGATTAGCACTCCTGTCCTAGTCTGGAGACCAACACAGCTTTGCAAGAACTGGGGTGGAAGCCCGTGGTCCGTGCTATGCTGGAAGCCAGACAAGGTGATCACAGTGGTCCCCGCTGGCCACAAACTCCATGAAAGCCCCAGCGTGTTTCTTTGAGTGCATTTCTCTTCTCTCTGCTCTTTGACTGCTAGAAGCCATGGAGGAAGCATCTGCAAAATCCAGCTGCCCTAGTCAGCCAGCTCTTGGGGACCTGCTGAGCCTGTCTGATCTGGAGTGCTCCCTCTGCCTAAGGTCAGGTCCTGGTTGCTGTCATCACAGGGGCTCTTGGGAGGATGGATCAAACCCACTGGGGATGAACTTGGCTTGTCCCGATCTTTCATTCACATCCTGGGGCTTTGCATGGTGCTGGTGGAAAAAAGCCACTTTCACTCCATGGTGGTGACCCGGGCAGGTCCAGAGGACGTCCTGCCCGGCCAGGCACAAGGGGCAGGGCCCTCCTGAGGCCATGGTGAGACTGACCCTTCAGGACTCTGTCAGGGCCTGCACCGGGGTCCAGTTTCCCAGGGCTTAAATGCCCTCCGCTAGAGCCCAGGTGGCCGACTGGGGGATTTATACTTCTCATTAAGTTGTCAGCCAACATAGCAGTTCAGACAGGATTTGTCACTAAATGCAGAAGAGCAGACAGTTTGAGTTTAAAGCTGTTCAAAAGCCAGTTGCAAAGTAGTGCAATAATTAACAATACCAGTAAATAAAGCCCGGCCAAGTAGACCCCAGCTAAGGAGAGCCGCTGGGCAAAATGTCACTCAGACTGAGGAAGCGTGGCCTATAAGAAGATCTGGTGCTAGACAGCCTTTAAACGGGGCTTTCCAGTGACCGGGGAAGGTCCCTTCATTTCCGTAGAACAATAGTGCTCAACCTTTTTAGGGTCAAGGCACCCCTCATTAGGCTTAAGGCACCCCCTTGACAATGCCAGCTCTTAGTTTTCACTCCATTTCTGTCTGCTGAAAGATAATAGAGCAATTTCACTTATTGCAAATTGCTCAGCAAGGCCACGGCAGGGCAGAAAGCTTTTAACGCCATGGATTCCTATTTGAAATCTCTGCGTTTGTCTTGTGAATCCTGAGTGCACTCCTGTGACTTCTGTGTGCACACATCTTGTGAATCCTGTGTTGCGTGCCACCCCACGATAGCCCTGAAGGGATCTCAAGGCACCCTGGCTGCAAATCGCTGCCTTAAAAAACAGCTGCACAGAGAGACGAGGAAGTGTCTGACCCCTAAATGGAACAGACCCTAACCGTAGCCCTCTCCCGGCCTGATTCCTTCTTGTGCCGGTCAATCTGCAGGCTGTTCTTGGAGCCAGTGACCACGCCGTGTGGCCACACCTTCTGCAAGGAGTGCTTGGAGCGGTGTCTGGACCACAGGCCCAGCTGCCCACTCTGCAAGCAGAGCCTGAGCGAGGTAAGAGCAAGCCTCAGGCACATCCAGGGGTGGGTGCAGAAGGCGGGTGGTCTCGGGGATGCAACACTGGACCCCTGGACTGTGGGTCTGGTCTAGTCTGGCAAATCCCATTTGCTGTCACCTCCTGAGAGCCCTCGGAGAATATAACACCTGAGTATACTGTAGTCCCCACTGCTCAGCAAGGAGAGGCCTATGTCTGCGGGGAAGGAGGTCTCAGGGTTGGTACCTGTTGATCTGACATGGCCCCAAGAGCGACCGGGCATGTTCCTAGCACCTGGAGGACCCTTGGCTTTCCCCTTGCGTTCCTGTCTTGCTCCATTTCTGTGTTTCATTCCTCCCAGTACCTGAAGGTTGGGAAGTACAACCCGACATTTCTGACAATTCAGGCCGCAGTGTGCAACCTGTAATGGTAAGGTTTGCCTGAGCTCCATGCAACCATCATGGGGACTCGGGTCCTGGAGTGAACACAGAGCCCCTGGGGGGAGGGAAGGGGCAGTGGGGGGAACTGAAGCTGCCACAGGCCACCCCTGCTGTTGTAGCCCTCTCAGGCTGTTGTTG